GGAAATGCTCACGAAGACTTTGTTCCCTGTGTCCAGGGCCAGCCTTCAGCCTGGCATCCAAGCTTCCATAGCACACACCAACCATCCTCGCCCATCTTCTCTTCCATTACTTCCCAACATGTGCCCTACCACGTTTGTCAAAAGTGTGTTGTTTCCCAAACACATACCACGACTCTTCCCAACTGCCCAAACTGCTCCCTACCTGTTTTCACACAATAAAACTTTACCCACCGTTCAAAGCTTAAGTACCACCTCCTCTATGAAGCCTTCCTCCTTTTTGACAAATGCCTGTGCCTCAGTCTCTTCTGAAACCCTCAGCATTGTGTGGGTCTCCCTTGTGGTCTTCATGACACTCTGCCTGATTGCTGGACCATGCCACCCACACCACTGCCCTGATCCCATGGAGCAGCAACCCTACAAACATCTTTAAGACACCCAGAGTGGCAAACACCAGACCCCTGGCAGAGGATGTCTACTGGCAAAGGGTTGACCACAGAACAGGAGAGCCTTACAGGAAAGTCTCCCAGGGCTTCTGGCCAGCGTTACATGCTGCCAATTGTCTAGGTCCCTGCCTTTCCTGCCCAGGGAGAACCCCACCACAATCACATACCAGGCATCGTGGCTCAACCTCAGTACGGGCTGTTTTTATGACCCATGTCACTAAACCAGAGCCAACAGCTCCAAGGAGCCATGTGACACAGGAGAAGGAAGCTGGCAGTCCCTCAGAAGCTGTTCTTCATCCCCTCTGGCTCCGGTTGGGCAAAAAATGTTTTCTTTTCCATTGCGTAAGATGCTTCCAATGGTGACAAACCTGACACCATCAACAGGAGGAGATAAAAGCCCTGTGGGTGTGAGGAGAAGAAAGGGGCTGCATATCTGTAAAGGACACAGGGGCAGGCAAGTGTCCGCAGCAGGATCTGCCAGCCAGCCACATGTGACCCCTCCAACAAGCAATGGAAAGAAAAACAAGCTCTAACCAAAATCAGAGCCAGCCCGTTGTGCCTGCAGGGCCCCTTCATTCCTCACTCTGAACACATGGTCTGGGCGGCACTGCCGAAGGACAGTCTGGGCAAAACACATGAAGTTAACCACCCCGCAATCAGCCCAGCCCAGCCAGGCCCTCTCCACAGGGCTGCAGCAAGGGGCCAAGGAGAAGGGAGAGGAAGTCAGGTTTTATAAGCTTCGAGATGCTTTATGGGTGTGAGAGGCTGGGAATTCAGATCTGGCCATTAGAATAAGCCTGGGCCAAGGTATCAGAAACCTGGCTGAGAGGTCCGGCTTGCTCTAAAATTCAAGAGAAACGGCCAGATCTTAGCTCCTCCCTTCCTCTCCTGTTAATCGAGGATAGCAACTGTCCTGATGCTGGTATATGGCTGCCTGAAGACAGACATCGATGGGCTTAGAAAACTGTACAGAACCTCACTCGCGCAGGCTGATAACATAGCAGTAGAGCAGAGCTGACACAGGACCTGTGGCCCAGCAACTCCACCTGTGGGGGAAATAATCCCAATTAGGGAAAATAATCTCTATGTATGTAGATATTCATCACTGTATAATTATGACTGCAGAAAAAAATAGAAAGCATCTAGGTAGACAACAAAAAGAAAATGATAAAGTGAACTAGGGTTCATTTACTTAATGGAAACATTCAAAAAAATTTCAAATGCTATGGTTACACAAAAAATGGTGATAGATAAAATTAACTGAAAATGTCATAATAGAGCTTTACTTATACCATTTCTTTCATTTTTTGAGATTAAATGAAGGTTCAATTTCATATTTTAATATGTAAAAACACTCGGAATGCTTTAAATATATAGCATAACTCCTACTTTGGCTAAATTGTTAAATAGCTGCATGGAAAAAATATTTTAAAGAAATCAAGAATTAATAGCAATGACGTTTATGTAGTAGTAGGGATAACTTTTTTTCTATTTTAATGTAGTTGTCAGATATTCTCGTATAAATGAGTGTTGCTTTTAAAATAGAAAGAGAAGTAAACATATTTTAAAGGTAACTTAAGAACAGAAGAATGATCCCTATACTACGGTCCAGGGGCAGGAAGGGAGGCTTGGACATAGAGAAATAACCTAGATTTCTAAGGCAAACACCAAATGGGACCTCCTGAGACATAACTAAGAAAAACACAACTTTCCTGACCTGGCCTTCCTAAATGGAACCAAGGGTTTGTGACCCACTCATACTTCATTCTCATTTTCCCAGAGAAAAAAGATGAGAAATACACTAACCAACATAGCAAGATGGTACCAATCACACAAGAACAAAATCATCAACAAAACCCAAAACAATAGTAATTTCTATAATTTAAAAAAATGAATACAAAAAAAGGCAGCAATAAAGAGCCATGACAAACTCAAGATGGCACTAACAGTGCCTGAAAACAAAGCATCCTTCGAAAGCTGCAGGAACTCCAAAGGTCATGCCCAGGAGCCCCACACACGGCCAGGTGCTGTACGATAGCCAGACTCTGCTCAGCAGAAACAGCCCAGACTCTGGGAGCTCCAGGACTGCTCGATTCATTTTATGACTGCAGATTTTAGTAATTCCTAATAACTCTCTTCTTAGGAAGCGGACGTTGGGCAGATGTAGCAATGAATCCCTGGCAGCACATCATCATTCACCTGAAGAACCCGAGAAAAGACTCAGTGTTTGGGTCTGTCCACTGCACCTCTCACACAGCTCCTTCCCCACCTCCTGACACAGGCGTCTCAGAGGCACAGGCTGCACTTGGAGGGGCACCGATGATCTGATCTAAGGAATCCACAGCAAAGCTCTGGCCAAAGCCTTGTCTCTGCAGACATCACCCCCTGCACAAGGCCAGGCTACCAGGCAGGGCAAAGTAAGAGAGGCAGAGGGACTCTCTAAGTTTTGTCATCTGCACTTCACAATTCACCACTTGGCCCTCCCTGGCACTGTCAGGCAGAGTATCTTCTCTGCCCTGACAATCCCCAAAGAAGAATTGTCTATTTCTCCTCCCTCTGGTGCCCCAAAGCATAATCTGGCCTAGAGTTTAGCACCTGATGGGCAGAGAACTAACAGCTGAAAGGTGGAGTGGGAAAAGAAGGTCGAGTATGCCTCCCCCCAGATCTGCTGTCCTTTATTGGTTCTTCTGGCACGGTGTGTCATTCACAGCCAACCATGCATGCGGGACGACAGGATCAATCAGATCCTGAAGGTCTACATAGTTGAGATGTTTCAAACTAGTTTAATCATGGAACCCTTTGACCAAATAGAATCTTACTCCAAACCCTATCTACACAGCAATCAACATAGACTATGAGGAGTGGGGATGGGGCGGGAGAGGTAGGGGTAAAAGTAGAATCTCTTTTTCTTGGCTCCCCAAACTACAGAACCCCATAGGGGATTCCTGTGACCCTAGAC